TTTCCACTTTTACCTAGGTTTTTTCCTAATAAAGAATTTAAAAAATCCTTCTATTTATCCATAGGCATATATACGTTATCAATGAGAGTACTGTTAAGTAGTATGGGCCTTATCATATGGCTAATTTATATTTTATGATATACATTCTTAGTTTTTAATTCATAAATTTTATTTTTCTTTGTAAGTATGCTCTAGAACCGTGGCATCTGTCATTTGGTCGTCTGAATTTTTAGCTTTGTTGCGTTAAATATGATTGGAAGAATTGGTCATTTTGATGGATAGGATAGAGAGTACTTCTGGATTTTTTAAAGAATTATTTTGATATTCGCATTTGTTTATATTCTTATCCAACTAAATTGCATTTTCTATTCCAGTCTTTTATTTTGGATTTTTTTTATTTCCCAGTCGATTGAATGCCACTTGCACGATTAGGTAAACTCTTTGCATTTGCAAACCCGTTGCCCTTAAATAATTTGGTTTACTGTTGTTAAATTTATGCGCTTCGTTTGATAATCTGCTCTTATTATTTATTTTTCTTACTCTATTAGGCCGTCCAACAACAACAACTAGCAGCTGCTGTTGCTGCTCAGCAACAACAGCAGCAGCAGCAGCAGCAACAACAACAACAGCAACAACAACAACAACAGTTTGACGCCACAGCCGCTATGCAGCAACAATACGCAGCTCAAGCGGCCGCGGTTGCTGCTGTCCATCAGCATCAATATGCTGCTTATCAGCAACAACAGCAACCGCAATAGCATTCATTCTCTGATAATTCTTTTGCTTAGCATTTTTATTCTCATACTTCTCAACTGGTAACCTTCTTTTTCTGCATATCCTCGTTTTATTCTTCGCGTCTTCATAGCCTTGTTTTCTTACTTTTGAAATTTCTCTTCTGTTCTAAATTCCTAGTTGTCACCTGGCGCTATGGCCTTCTATTTTCTTTTTATCCTATCCCTTTAGCTTCTCTATCTAATCCTATCATCCCAGGAAAGAATACAAGCCATTTGTGTATTGCTTTCCTCCATTTACTCATATTGCCTTCATTCTTTTTTGTAAGCTCGAGAATGGCATTGTACTGAACCTTCACGAATCGACAATGCTGACATCCCCATCATTTTGCCCCATCTATAACTTCATTTTCTATTTGTTGCATGTCCTTCATAGACTTTGCGACAAAAATGCTCCATCGTTCGAATCATACAATCAAAATAGCCCAATTCTATCCGCTCACTATTTTTCTTTATTTCTATTCTCCTTAACTACATTTCCAGCACATTTATGCCTTACAATTATTTCACCATATTTCATCTGAATATCAGAACTCTCTTAGTTGGATCTTCTCCCGACGGTATTTTGCGTCATTGTCCCATTCAAATGCTATTCTACTCAATCTTCTATAACTT